AGTGTTGATCCTTATTTATGGTGCGTGTTTGTGAATACAATAAAACTATAGCCTCCCTCTATTATTTAGCCCGTATTTTTTCAACTTGGTGATTTCACATTGCAACTGAAGATTATTTACATGTTGTTTCCCTAGATAACTTTCGGCATTCATTTATTTTCTGCTGCAAATTAGATGATAGGGTTAAGGTAACCAATTTTCTAATGGGTTTTAGATGTTGTATCATTTACATGGTATGAAGCTGCAAAGAGTGTTTAAGAGGATAAAGTAGGCGTAAACCTTACCTCTACCTCAACTAGGTAGGCGACACGATCTAGGAAGTGTTGTTTCCAACTATATATGGTATGAAGCTACAAATAGAGATTTAAGTTTGAAGCTTCTAATTATCTCTACATATTTTTGAACATTCCAACTTATATTTTGTGCTTTCTTATTTAATATTTTGTGCTATATGTACTTATGACTTACATATGCAATGTTTATTTATGTATGTTTACTATGCTTCATTTAATTTAAACATTGTACCTCTTTGCCGTTTTCTTCTTTTGTTGCAATGGTGTAAAGAATGTAGTCAAGAGATAAGAAGCAAAGCTATATTGAAAGGATAGGTCGTGCACATCAACTACATCTCTCCACCATGGAAGTGCACATGAATTAAATAACCTAAACTTAATATTTGTGATTGTACAATGTGTTTCTCTGTTTCTTTTAACAGTGGAGGACATGCATGTTTTTTGAATAATTATTCGGTGAATAGACACCAACTATCTTCTAGACTTAGAAAAGATTTACTATGAGGCGGAAAATCAGGACAACTGACATAATTAGCAACATACGTAAGGCGAGTGGTTAATAGAATTCGACTTCTATTGTCATCATTTGGAAATATTCTTTGCATTTGGTCCCATGCCTCGGTACTCCAAATATCATCTATGACAATTAGAAATCTCCTACCCTTAAGACCTCTATACACAGTCTCCATTAGTTGATCATTACTCATTTCTCGATCATTTCTAGTAATCAAAGAAAAAATTTTAAGAAGCATTTGTCTCTCATTGTATTTTTCAGAGATAGTGACCCATGCGTGTTTATCAAATCGACAACAAATAGAATAATTATCATAAAGTTTCCTGGCAAGAGTTGTCTTACCTATACCGCCATACCGAAAATTGGTATGACAGTTAACTCATCTGCTTGTGAAATGAGACGATCAAGTATGATGTTGAAGTCGTCCTCCATCCCAACAATAGTATTTTCCTCAGCCGTTAATTGCAAATTTTGTGTAGCAAAAAGGTTTCAATATGAATCACCAGATTTTTGTTGTAATAATGGATTAATTAGGCTAACTTCTCATAACATGCCTATTGAGTTGCGAAATTTGTTCTTAGGTGACTCCAAAGAATCCCAACATTTTCGCCCTTACAGTAGAGCCTACAATAATATGTTTGCATTCACTTCACTTGGAGTACATTATGATAGAGAATTAGCAAGGAGAAACTGTGGCATCTATACATTTAAAGTCCAAGGACAAATGTATCACGTCATTAATGATTTGATACCCTCAGGAGGAAAAAGAAAAAATTTACAATTATATTTCTATGATAATGAAAATGAGCTAACAAACTGAATGACATTATCAGATAATTTTAATGAGATAATTGTTACAAAGCTCATAGATATACTAAAAGTTAATCCTTATTCTACTTTTTTAAGATCGCTAACAGCTCTTCCAAATTTATCTGAACTTTATATTGCTCTAAACTCAAGTTCCAATTTAGACCAAAGAACACATAGCTTACCAACTGCATCTGAAGTTGGGGCAATTTGGATTAAAGATCAATTAAATGATAAAATTTTCACACCACATATTAGAATTTACACTCATAGTAACTTCTGTTTTTTAAATCAATTAGTAAATTTACTTATTATATACAGTATTTTTTGTCCTTTATTTTCATTTTTATTTTAGATTTTCCATTAATTTTACTAATAAAATCTGATTTCCTACTAAAACCCACTGGTATTAACTTCTTCTTTTAATCATTTTTTAAAATTTATTTATTATTATTATTTTATTTTAAATCTTTTATGTTGGATGGATATAATTTTCTAATAAATAAAGGGAAAGGACAAAGTAAGTATCCCATTTTCGTACAACAGTTTTTAATTTATTATATTTAGTATCTGAATCATTTAAATTTTTAGTAATTGAATTTAATCAATTTTACATTTTTTAAATTTTAGATTAATTTTACTAATCAATAAATTCTAGTTTCTTACGAATATCCACTGTTTTTAAATTCTTCATCTAAAAAAAATTATTTTTAAATTTTATTTAGTTATTTTGTTTAGATTATTATTTTATTCTTTCTTTTATTAAATAGGAAATGCTATATAAAATTTAATAAATCTAAAAAATGAAAAAGTAACTATCCATTTCCTACTAACAATTTTAATTTATGCTTTTTAAAATTTAAATTTTAAATTAACTTATTATATTTAGTATTTTTCAGTTCTTTATTTTTTTTTAAATTTTAGATATTAGAATAAGTTAAATAATCAATAAATTTTGTTTTCTTACGAAAAATCACTGTTTTTAACTTCTTTTATGTTTAAAATCATTTTTAAATTTATTTATTTATCATTCGATTGTTTTTTATTCTTTATTTTGTTAACATGTTGTATTGATCAATTTAATATTAGAAAAAGGAAAAAGTAACTGCCATTTTCGTCGAACAATTTTAACTTCCGTAATATATATTTAAATTGACTATATATTATTAATTTAAATAGTATAGAAAATTTAAATAATTTTGCTTCTCCGAATATATATATATATATAGAGAGAGAGAGAGAGATTATTATTATTATTATTATTATTATTATTA